TTCCTCTGAATGATCCAAGTGATAACGGATGAAGAATCTCTCAGCATCTTCTCTCTCACAATCCGTCACGGCACTCCCATTCAGAGAGGTCACTGACGGCAGTCTGCAGGCGGGAGCAATGAGATCATCTCATCAACATTTCTACAACATTAATATCAGTTTCTAATGAGGTTAAAGTGAGTTCACCCAAAAATACAAATTTGGTCATTATTTACTCTGTCATGTCATCCAAACCTGTATGACTTTCTTTCCTCTGTGGAACGTAAAAGAAGATATTTTGTCCGTACAGTGAAAGTCAGTGGTCACCAAAACTGTGTGGTTACCAACATTTGGAACAACAAAAGGGTGCGTAAATGATGAAAGAATTTTCATCCCTGTAAGATACATTGGACTTACTGGGCTATCATTAGACTGCGACGCTCCATGCTCGTGTAAGCCTGCAGTAGAGGAATGCCTTGCAACCTCATTTCTTCCAGTTTGGGCAGAAAATTTAGCTTCTCAATGTCCTCCCATCGATTAAGTCCTGAATCACACAAAATAATAAGAAAAACTTTTTTGGGGGGGGGGTTATGTAATTACACTGTACTAAAATAGTAATAATTAGACAATTACACACATACTATGATTATTTAGACTCTTTCACAGCAAGTGTCACTAACACGATGATACCTGCGTTATGCAGATTGATGCTTCGAAGGTTAGGGAAGAGCCGCTGAAGGATTTCTCCTGAGTCTTGAATGGAGTTCAGGTTGTTGTTGGCCATGACCAAAGTGTCCAGTGCAGGGAACATGGAGCCGAATTTTCGTACTTCACTCCACTCCTGGAGACTGTTATCTGTGATGTGGAGCAGACGCAGTGTGGGGCAGGGCATGGTGGCCGGTGTCACAGTGGTGTACTCATTAAGGCACAGGAACAGCTCCTCTAGTCTGGACAAAACAGATCAATATTAGTGGAGAGCTGTCATACCACAGACACTTTCATAAAATCTGATGGTTCAAATTAAAGCATGAAAAAAAACTGCTCATTGGCCATAATGTTACCTGAAAGCCGTTGAATGAATTCAAAGTGAATTCTCTCAAACATAATTTACAGTTCAATAAAGTAA